ATGCTGGCGTGGATCTCCATGTGGCTCCTCCAGCTCCAGGGCTCAGGCTCCATCAGCTTGGCTCCATGTGACTTGTCAACAGGAATGTCTCACAGGGAGACAAGCAGAGACTGTGGGTCTGCCCTCCAGTGAGCTACTTATCTCCATAGTGCCTCCAAATGAGGTCATCAAGCTGCAACCTGATTGACAGGCTAAACTCCACCCCTTCACAAGTTGACAGATTATATAACTGCCACAAGGACCATTATTTTACATCAGTACTTTGTGTGGATGCTGTTGGTTGCATGGTAATACTGAGTAGAATGTTTCTGCTTGAGTAGGGCCTTATAGCTGAGACACATCCTGCTGAGAAGAGCTTGAGGATCCTACTGTCATGTTTACAACTGTTTTAATGGATGTTGGAAGTGCTTCATTATGTTTAGTGGTTGCTCATAAAAGACAGCCCAAAATCCACATCAAAAAGAAGCAGAGGCAGGAGGGAACATGGTCTCCATATCTCCAGGAGGGGTTACATGAAGCTCTTAGGTCGTACATAGCTTGGCTAGTATGTTAGCAAAATGTGTTGAGCAAGTTGTCTCCTGTACTGATGCCGCAACCTGAGATGCTTATTCACTTCTCCTCTTTCTCCCTGGGCTGATGAAGATGGAGAGCTTTACTCCGGCACATCATATAACTTTTTGGGAAGTGAACCCATCATCTCCCGCCATTCTTCCCAAAGTCCGCTGAGAACAGAGTATGCAATACCTTGGCTTAATGGTAAGAACCAAAAGCTGATCACTGAAAGTGCATTTCTATGCATGACTACTTCCTTGCCAATGGAAGTGCACCTGTTTATGTCTCCTTTTGCTGGCTCTGAATGAGGTGGTGTTGGGTAGTTCAGTGCATAAGGGACAATGTGTTGGTTTCTGCTGCTAGAAAATCATTAGGCTTTCAACAGTGGCAGTAGTCAAATCAGCATCGGTAAGTGGAAATCCATGTTGCTGGGTCCATACATAACCTTCATTCCTACCACCGTGACTACTTTGTTCATGAGTCCACTGAGTAATGTCAGGAGTGACTGAGGAAAGCGGCTATTTTCAATAGAATGCATGTATCATTCTTTCCACTTGATTATTAAAAGTGACCCTTTGGTAAACATCACATGAACTACAAATATTTTCGCTTTGGCTATGCGGAGAGATCTGACCACGTACCTCTTCCCCACAACTCCTTTCATCTATTTTCCAAATATGTTCCTTCTAAGTCCTTGGTGGTCAATCCTAATCATTTACCACAATCCATGAGTCAATATATAGTCACACATCTGGCCCTTTTTCCATCTAAGTAAAATGAACAAGCAGGTGAACTGTTCAAAGTTCTCCAGAAAAGGGCTGCAGTGATGCCGACATTCACTTTGGGTAGTGCCTGCCCAGCAGGGGAGGCTTCCGAAACCAGAACTGTAAGCAAGGTATCCCTTGCTCATCCACTGATTGTAAGGAACGCCTTTTGTCACCCTTGGTGCAGGTTGGTAGGCTGCAGAAGCACCCGTTGATTCAAAGGACTGGGTGACAAGTCCTCGGTACTTTAGGAACACGTCTACCACTGTGTGGAGCTCTGTGAACCAAAGACCAAGGACATGTGTATGTTTTTCTCCTTTACTGAGGCATTGCTCTAAGTAATGTTCTCCCTTAAAACTGATTTATTTGGAAGGTTGTATTAACAGTGAGAGTCTGATGCTAAGCCTTGTTCAGATTAATCAGATTGGGATGTGTAATTGGCATGGGTGATATTGAAGTGCAAAGCAAATGCACATTGGCATCATTCTCTGGGGACAACATTAAATGGCTTATCATAATAGAGTTCAATTCTTTAGTGCCTCCAAAAAGCATGTGTATTGTCGAGTTGGGTTTTCAAGGTATAGATGGCTCATACCTACTCACTTGGAACTTTTCTTGTGGATGCCAGCCAATGGGATCCTTAGGTTTGAAGCCTCCTAGTCTCTCAAGAGGCAGGATGGTTTGGTATAGGTGCCAAAAGCTGTGGCCAGAGAAGCAGGAACAGCTGACCACTCCTCAGCATGAAGCAGCCAAGGAGACATAGCTGCTGCATGTCTGGATTTGTTAGCTGGAGGGTTTATTATTTAAGCCAGAAAATGCATATTTTATCTGGCTAGACCAGAGTACACACATTGGTACAGATAAGAGCTCTTGACACATGGAATTCAGGATGAATAAACCCTCAGGAACAATAGTGGGAGTAGTGATAATCATGAGGGTAGGGGAATGATGGGAGCAGGGGGAACCCATCACAAAGTTGGATATATAGCCCATCCCCCAGGGGGAACCAATAACAGCAGTGTGGGTGAAGGGAGACAACAGACAGTGTAAGGCATGAAATAACAACAATAATATGTAATTGATCAAGGATTCACAAGGGTGGGAGGGAGAGGGACAGAGGGGGAAAAAAGAGAAGCTGATACCTAGGGCTCAAGTAGAAAGAAAATGTTTTGGAAATGTTGATGGCTACATATGTACAAGTATGCTTAATACAAATGAAGCATGTATTGTCATAAGATTTGTAAGAGCCCCCCCCCCATAAAATGATTAATAAATAATTAATTTAAAAAATAGAAAATGCATATTTTACAGATGGCCTCTTGTGGAATATAAAAAGACTTTCCCTCAGCTTTGTCTCCCCCAAATATATGCCTAACCTAAGAGGCTGTTTGCCAGCACATGGTGGGAGGTCAGATGCTTAGAGATATTCTCCCTGTAGGCATTCAGCCATCCAGAGCAAGCAGACACTCTTGTTTATCCCATCACAGGTGGGTCTCACTCCCAGCTGTTAAGAGGAGTGGATTCCTTTCCATAGAAAGCTTAGAATAAGTCAAGTCTCCAGCTCAAGAACCATCAAGGTTAGGCTCCATCTTGAATCTAGGATCTGCCCATCTTGTCATGTGGACCCCTGGTCCCTCCTCTTCCTATTGCATATGCACCCTGAGATTGTTCCCCTCCCATTACTGTATTGCCTTTCTTATAACCCCTTCCTGTGATGTAGGTCATTACCTGTAATCAGGGGGCTTGCATGCCCCAAGTATAGATAGGCTTTGGTTAGAAATAAATCGGTCTCCCTCATGCTCCTCTCTGGTTTCTGGATCTCCTTGTGGACCATCAAGTGGGGTTGAGGTGAGCATGTCACCATAAAATGTGCCTGACTCCTTCATTTTATTCTCTCTCCTATCTCTCTTATTCTCCATGCCTTTACTGTAATCTTTATATGTCATAGTTGTACAATTGCACCTGCCGGGCCTGTGATGACTTGTTAGGGGCTGACTCCCTGACAGTCTCTATGGACATTGGGACTGGCCCCCTGGGGACTCAAGGCTGTCAGTAAGGAAACTCATGCTAGCTTCTCAGGGATGTATCTGTGAAGGGAGAAGCTCTGAGGTTGAGAAGAGTAGACTGAGCACACTCAGTGGCTCATAAATGTCATCATTCCTGCACGGTAGGTGCTAGAGTATGGCCCATGCACCTTTAGATGTGCCCAAGGAGCCCTTGAGCAGAGTCTTTTGGTTTGATGACATCTCATTATCTATCCTTATACTGGCATGAGACTGCTTTGATTACTGTACATTCTGAAATTGGGACATGAGAGTCCTCCTAGTTTCTTCAAATTCCCTAAGAATTTGATGCTTGGTTTCCCGTTTCTACAAAAACAATGTTGGGATTTTTATAGGGATTGCATTGAATCTGTGGATCAGTTTTCAGGGTATTGACATGATACCAATATTAAGTCTGATGGCTGGGCAGTATACAGTTTGATGTGTACCGAGAACTCAGGGCTGTTTCTCCTCTGCAGAGCCCAGCTTTGTCTTCGTAGATGTCATACGAAGACACTTCAGTGACACAGAGGTTGAGGATGACAAGGTGTACTTCTTCTTCATGGAGGTATCTGTGGAATATGAGTTTGTTTTTAAGCTGATGATCCCAAGGATAGCGAGAGTATGCAAGGTAAGATACCATTCAGTTTTCATTTTCTTTTAGTCCTAGCCTATGCCAATGGCATATCTGAAAATTATAGCTTTTACTCACTTTAACCTTACCTGTAATATGGATGTGATTTACTACTTTATTCTTTGCTTCAATGATCAACGTTTTGCTGGAAGGCTTGCCATGTGAAATAGCACTTCTGTTTCAACTACGGCCCTTTTCTTGGAGGCTGGGGTATATTTGCACCCATGGAAGGGTGACGAGTACCCTTACTTTTAGGTGACTAACTTTGGGACATTTTGTCTTCAAATTTCACCAAGATATATGAAGTTAATGTTTGTTCAGTTTTTATTTTGTTTTGTTTTGTTTTTTAAATCATTTTATCGGGGGTTCCTACAACTCTTATCACAGTCCATACATACATCCATTGTGTCAAGCACATTTGTACATTTGTTGCCATCATCATCCTTAAAACATTTACTTTCTACTTGAGCCCTTGATATCAGCGCCTCATTTTTCCCCTCCCTCCCCACTACCCCTCCCTCATGAATCCGTGATAATTTATAAATTATTATTAATTTGTCATCTCTTACACTGTCATGTCTTACACTGACGTCTCCCTTCACCCACTTTTCTGTTGTCAATCCCCCAGGGAGAGGGTTATATGTAGATCCTTGTAATCGATTCCCCCTTTTCTACCCCACCTTCCCTCCACCCCTTGGTATTACCACTCTCACCACTGGTCCTGAGGGGTTAATCTGTCCTGGATTCCCTGTGTTTCCAGTTCCTATCTGTACCCGTGTACATCCTCTGGTCTAGCCAGATTTGTAAGGTATAATTAGGATCATGATAATACTGGGGAGGAAGCATTTAAGAACTAGAGGAAAATTGTATGTTTCATCGTTGCTACACTGCACCTTGACTGGCTCATCTCCTCCCCGCAACCTTTCTGTAAGGGGATGTCCAGTTGCCTACAGATGGGCTTTGGATCCCCACTCTGCACTCCCCCTCATTCACAATGAT